TCAGGGACTCACCACAGGAAATGAATTCATTCCTTAGATGAAGATAGGTTTAATTCGATACTGAGAGTTGCTAAATAACATTAGATGGCCAATTTACAGATACATATTTATAAATAGGGTGAGAAAAATATAAGCATTTAACAGTTTAAAAAATATTTATGATTTCAAATGGCAGGTTCAACTGTATCGATTCAATTAAAAAAAAAGTTTCAGTTTTCCTGAGCTCACCAGTAGAACTGACCTAGGGATGGGACCAGGAAAAAACTCCAAAAAGAACTTTCGATTTTTCTTTCTTTCTCAAAGGCACCAGGCCATGTATATTAATTGTTGATTTCATGGTATGCTTTAAAAAAAAAAGGTAAAACAGATATTACCATACTTATTTTGTAGTTTGGGAAGACTAAGGACTTAACCTGTTGAGTCACTTAGTAATATCAGAAGTCATATTAGCCCAGAGACTCAGCTCTGTGGTTTATCATTGGGCTCTTTGTTCTTGTGGAAGTTGCTTGAGAAATAGATGAGATGCCAAGATGTAAAGGAACATGATCCGGTGAATGAATGAATAAATTAACAATGTAACACTTTCAAGCATTTGCTGTGTACTAAGATTACAGGAATCATGGGAGGCACAAGAATATCTTGAGACTATCCCTGACCTTAAGAGTCTCACAAGTTGGTGAAGGGACAGGTCACACAACTCAAAACCCAGTTTCAGTTTCTTTCTAAATATTCTTTAACTAAAATCACTGCTCGAAGAGTGGAACATGTGAGGATTCAGAGGTGTTAAAATCACTGTGGGCACTGATAGGTGTCGTGCTGATGGCCGAAGGTAAATTTCATGTTGAGATTTAGAGACTAGAGAGAGAAGTTGGAATTAAGAGGGGCCAGGAGAACAAAGATGCACGTGTGGACAGGAACCCAGCACGCTGGGCGGAGGGAGCAAAAGGAATGGAAGGTTTACTTTCGGGGCACAGTGGCCAGCAGGTCTGGAGGGTATGATCAGGGCCAGGCCGTAGGGGACTTCTGTAGGCAAAGGGGGGCTATGAGGATTTTTACACAGCAGAGTAACAATGCAAGTATTGTTATAGAAAGATAAATCAGAAGAGTGCAAGGTATGAACTGAGGGAGAGAAGAGATTTAGGGCAGGCAGATGAGGTGAAATAAAATAATGTATGTGAAATATAAAGCACATATAAAGCACTGGTATCACTTTTATGATCATAAGACACCACAATTCAAATATGAAATAATGAGATGTTGGTCCAGAGTGGTGGTTACAAAAAGAGAGAATCAGTAATGAGAAAATCCGAAGAGCAAGAATCAGTGTGATTTGGTGACAAGTTGGAATTAGGGAGAAAAAAAGAGGAAACTGCTATGTCTCTAACTTTATGATCCTTTAATCTTCATCATTTTCAGGGTATATACTTGGTACTAGCTAAAATTTTTTAACTATTTTTTTATTTAAAATTTTGCTTTATTGTTAATAATGTTAGAGAAATAGATTCTCCCCCATCAGGGATGAGATATTTATTTGGCATGACCCAAAAGACTTTGAGACAAGTGACTCAAAATGTAGCCTTTACGGTCTCATGGTGATTTTAATGAAACCAGACTTTCATGCAATGAACAGAGAATTAATATTCCACTCCAGGATCAGCAGGTGAGGGATTGTAAAACACAAAAAACTATTTTTTAAGGTACATAAGCATAAATTTAGCTTTAAGGCTTAAAACTCTCATAAAAGTTTTCTGACTCCATGGAACACTACACATCCTTCATATTTTGTCTTTTTTTTTTTTTAATATATCTTCTATTAATTACAGAGAGAGGAAAAGAGAGGGAGAGAGAGAGAAACATCAATGATGAGAGAGTATTGATCGGATGCCTCCTGCACACCCCAACTGGGGATCGAACCCACAACCCAGGCAAGTGCCCTGACCAGGAATCGAACCCCGAATGCTTAGATCCTAGGTCAACACTTAACTACTGAGCCACACCTGGCTGGGCATATTTTGTCATTCTTAAAATGTGTCACTACACCATCTTGGCAGGAAATTATGGTAGAAAATGGGGTAAGACTAGCTGAGGAAAGGATGATGGAATAAGCAAAGTGTTTCCCTACCACTACTGGAAGGTGACCTGAGGATTGTTCATTATAATATCCATCCATCCATCCATCCATCCATCCATCCATCCATCCATCCATCCATCCATTCAAACATTTATTTCCAGGAGCTCTTGCTTTTCAGGAATTATGTTCCATATGTAACAGACTAAGAAACAATTAAATCACGTATGTGTCCTCAAGAAGCTTAGAATGCAAGGAGTAAGACATTACTAAATGAAAACATTACCCACACCTGAGAAGTCTTAAATACTGTATGCACACAGGGTTATGGGACTAGGGCAGAGGAAAGAGCTGAATCAGTGTAAGGTGGGCTAGAGAAAGAAGGGGAACGAGGTAGAGGAAGCTTGGAATGGCTTCCAGGAGAAAGTGATGCTTCAATTTCCCTCTGCATAGTCCTTTCCTATTCCTCCCTCCATGCCTCGCCTTTACACCTCTTCTCTCCCCACTGGGTAAGCCAACCACAACCACTTCTTCTCTTACTATCTTTGACATGAATGATTCCTAAAGAATATCTCCAGCTCAATCTACCTCTTTGATGAAGCTAACTCTGAAGTTAAGAGGAGAAAGGAGTTTGTGTGGGAGCCTTAAAGATAGCCACCAAGTACCAAAAAAATAATGTCTTGGAGGCGTAAGGAAGAGAGAGTTTAAAACAGAAGTAGGCATTGGAACTAGATGTGAAAATGAAACGCGCTTTGTGGTTAGTCCATCGGAAAGCATATGCAAGAGAAATAGTGAGGATGGAAGTTTGAAGACCAGTAAAGCAACAAATACACTCTGTCCAGTTAAGACACATCTGGGAAAGGAGGGAAAAACAAGAACCAGAGGAGGGATTGGGTTAAGGGAGCTTCTTTGATACAAAAGAGAACCCTTTTATGTGCTGGGGGATAGTTAGCAAAGATGGCAGAGTTGAAAGTGGAGGGGGAAGGTGGTGAAATCCGTTATGATGATCAGGAGGGAATGACCTGGAGCTTCTGTGGGCAGAAGAGCTTTCTCCTGTTTGAGGTGGGAAGGAAGTGGGAGTCGATAGGTGGTGTTGCAGGGGAGTTTGTAGACGCAGGGGCTGGGAATCCATTAAATTACTGGTTAAACACTTGCTCTGCTAGAGTCCCCCACATGGACCACAAAAATGAGTAAGACACAGTGCCTGTTCTCTCCTTGATCAAACATTCACTTCATTTAAATGGATAAATGGATATTTAACCTTATGCTCCTTGAAATTCAAACATGCCGGGCAGTGGCCCACAAAGGGCAAAATGCTGGGAATAGGTACTCCACAGAAGATTTAATTACTGACCTAGCTTAGAATTGGTGGTACATGATGATAAAAATTAGTCTGACTCTTAGTCAGTGTTATTATCATCTTTAAATCATCCCTAGAAAGACCTCCTTATAGGTTGCATCTGAACAGATCTTTTCTGCCACCTTACCTTTGGGTGTCACACCACCAATGCTCAGATGCCTGCTTCAAGGTTTCTCTTTGAAGAAAACTTAAGTGTGAAAACTCATTTACATAACATGAGTAGAAGAACCTGAAGGAAGTGAAGTCATGTTTAAGCCCTTCATATTACAGAAGAAGAAAGCGAGGCCCAGATAGATGAATGGCTCATGACACCACTCAATCCAGAAATGGTAGAGCTGGGTCTCAATTCCAGTTCTCCTGACTCCTGGTTAGCTTCAGGAAAAAGTTCCATCCTGTCCACCTTTCCATACTGCTGCCCAGAGGGCAATTTAGTGGTATTCGGGCAAGGGAATGGTACTGGGATCCATCAGGAAACCATCACGTATTTGCTGGGGAGGAAGTAGAAAGAATGGTTTGATTGCTCTCCATTTTCTTTCTGTTGTGAAGTCAAAGTGTTTTCCCTTTAAGGACTTTGGAGCTCAAGGCAGCCAAGCCCTGTCTTTTCAATTCATTCCTTGCTCTTTGACAATTCTTTCAAAGAAATGTGAATGGCCAACTCAGTCTTCTGCTGTTCTTAAAGCCACAAACTATATTTTCTGAAGGGAAGTGGTGTGTGTGTGTGTGTGTGTGTGCGCAATGGAAAATACAATCAAGTTTATATATGTGATCTAGAAACTTAAGGCAACAAAATGGGAGAGTGATAGAAAATGGAAATACAGGAAAATAAGAGGATGAACCTGGGAGTGTATCTTGAAAACTCTGTAGTTCCTCCACTACTCTGATGTGCAATGTTGAATGTAATATAAATCATATTTTAATATAATCATAAATCTTCCTATTTTAAGAAGTGGCATGGGAAAGCATTACTTTATATTTTGAGGAAACAAAGAATTAGCTCCTCACTTATATATTTTGCATATCCTAGTTTTCATACACTGGATGTGCTTTAAATGGGAATGTATCAGTTTAAGAACATCACCAAGGCAGGTAGGGTAACAAAAATAATGTATGAATCTTGAGATAGTGTCTGTTCTGCTTAAAGGCAGCAGAGAGAAATCTTTATAAAAAGTTAATTTGTGGCATAAACTCCTTCTGCCTTATTCCAAACAAGATGTACTTCAGCAGGAAACACCCACAGTTCATTGGCAGTCTTTCTATCTACCAGAGTTTTGATGACAAACAGGATAGGTCAGTGGCCCTCAGAAAGCACTCAATTCATGATTATAGAAGCTGTCCTGTAGTTGAAGATGACCTTGGCTTGGGTCTATACCAGTTTAACAAAATCAGATGTGACTAAAATATTTTGTGTAACACAACTAGATTCTTTGGGAGACGAGAAAGACTATTTCCTTCTGGTGTCCATTTGGCGGTGAGTGATTCTACCTATATGCCAGTCATCTCTAGTTCTATCCTTTTTAGTTGGTGAATACTCTAAAAAAATCAACGGGTGGGGGACACAGAAAAAGTTCTTACCTCTCTTGAAGTCCTATGGGTTTCATTTTGAAAGGAGAAGGGCAGACAGAGGTGGAAGCTTTGATCTCAGGAGCGTATCGACCTTGAGGGTCCACGACCACACTCAGCACCTTGGGCGCCTGCTCAGGCTGGACCATGCTGTTGACTGGCTTAGCCTCAGACTGTGCCGGCTGTAACGCGAGGGGTGACAGGTGGATCTCCTGCTGTTTCTCTTTATCTTGTCTCAGAGACAGCTGAAACTTTTCTTTTAATTTGTAAAGAATCTATAGAAGGAGATACAAAGGGCTCCTGTCACATTTTTTCACACTCAACAGCAAAGTATGATCTCTTCCACCCCAACCTAGAAGAAAACCAGAGTAAAGGTTTAATGATGATGCGAGTAAGCAAAGACTACTAAGATGGTTACCAGTTTTAGGGTACTGAGACTTTTCTCCAAAGAATATATTTAGTACTTCTAAATATGGTGCACAAACATATTAAATATATATGCACATAAATTTATTCCCCAAATATTATTAAAAGCAAATTTGGCTAATTTTATAAAATTGCCAGATGTCAGTAAGCTCATAATTAAAATGGCTGAAATGGAAGGCTTATAAGGAATAACAATGAAATAAGGGCTTACGACATTTACGGAAACAGATCTGCATCCAACACAAGCTGTAAGAAGAAAGTCTTGCAAAACATCACGAAAGAATAGTTATGATATAAACCATAATTTTTTTATACTGCAAATATCTGCATTAGTCATATGTTAACTTGAGTATCTAGTAAATACTTGAAATAATTAAATTTAGGGCATCTATCAAAGAATAATTTGGACAGCCAGAATATTTTTTCTTACTCTTTCTCCCTTTTAATTTTTAAAGCATGTAGGAAAAAAAAAGTACCACTTTCCTCCATTGTGAGAGCTCTTTCTAGATTGGCTAATATAATTCAGAAGTGATAGGATCTTCACTTTCAAACTTTTAAAAGAATTGGACTGACTTTGCTGAGACCCTCCACTGGACCATATTGTGAGGTGGGTAGAGTTTGTCTTTCCTGTCCTCAGGCTTCCCTTTTTATAGGTCCTTTTTTCTCTTTTCTTAAAATTTACTTATTTATTTCTATTTAAATAATCTTTTTCCAGTTTTACGGAGAAAGGTGATACATATGTCTTAAGTTAAACACATAGCTACTGAAGGATGAGGTAATAAAATTTAAGATGGGATAGTTTTTTGTTTTTGTGTTTTTGCTTATTTGCAAGCAAGTTATTTCCTGAATGAGAACAGAAACAAATATATCTGTTCATATACAGAAAAATATAAATAGAAGATAATGCACATATTCTATATTCTAAGTTCTTGCCATTTAAATATAATATATGCAGGCTGTCCCCCCAAAATATATATACACTTTGAATACCATTTTTAATTCCAGTGGGCTAAATCTGAAAAGAAATATCAATTGAGCTATCAGCTGTTCAATTGTGTACACATTTTGGGAGGACACCCTGTATATCAGAACATTCGTTTGCTTGTTTACATTTGGGGTTTGGAGAAGCACAGTTCAAAAATGAAAATGAGAAAGCCAAGGAAATGTTGTCCTTCACAACAGTTCATGACAGGTCACTTTTATGATTCATGTGAAACAAGCTCTAGTCCAATGTCCTTCTGTACCATTCACAGAAAGCCAAGGAGATGCTGGCCTTCACAACTTCTGTACCATTCACAGAAAGCCAAGGAGATGCTGACCTGTTCATGACATGTCACTTTTATGATTCCACTCAGGTGAAACAAGCCTTCTTTACCATTCACAAGCTTATGTTCTTGATGAGGAACCTTTCTCACGTGTTTTACAGTTGTATGTTTACTTCCTCTCTGGTTAGAGGTCAACTTTAATCTGTCACTATCTAGTACGTGTACAAACTGATTGCTACATCTGTAATTAGGGAAAAGCAGAACTTGGAGAGTGTGTAATGCTTATAAGACACTGTTTAAAAATACCCAAGAGAGAGATTAGGCTGTCTGGAAAAACTGTGGAAAAAACTGAGGGCTTTACTATGTTGCAATGAGGCATTTGTCGTGGAAGGAAGCTATAAGGCATTGGTTCTCAGCCAGCAGGAACTTTGCTCTTCTAGGGGCATCTGGCAATATCTGGAGGTGTTTTTTTGGTTGTCATCCTGGAGTGTGTGGGGGGTGCTGTTGGCATCTAGTGGGCAGATGGTAGGAATGCTGCTAAATACCCTACAATGCACAGGACAGATCCTGTCTCGACAACAAATTATCTATCCAGTCCAAGATGTCAACAATACCGCTGCTGAGAAATCTGGGAAAAGGGATCTTAAAAATCACCTGGTATGATCTCATTTTACATGTAAACCCAAAGTGGTTTAATAATTTATGGACAGTTAGAAATAAGGCCTAGAATCCAGGTTTCCTGACTTATGCTTGTGATCACTCCTCTCTCCTGTTCTTGTAAATCCCACATCCTTTCTCCCAGCCTCTTTGCCGAAACCTCTGGGAAAGTGTGTCAGGGATTTTCCTCTGCACGGCTGGAGGTCCAGAATAAAGCTTATGCATATGTCTCTGTGTGAATGCACTTTGTTTGAAAATTTGACCTAACAGCTCACCATAGCAGTGGCAAGTCAATATTTTTGACTTTACTTTTAGAGCTTGTCGTTTGAATCTTGGGATGCAATTGAATGTTTTCATTATTCGAAAAAAGAAAAATAGAAAGGAATAAAATTTAAACTATAGCAAGAGAAAAAAAATAATAATAGCAAGAAAAAGAAAGCCAGAGGAACACTGACATGAGAGGAAGCTAAAAAAAAAAAAATCCTATAAAGCTCTTTTGTAGCTTATCATTTTTATTTAAAAAATCTCATAAGCAGGTACCAACAGTCCATAGCATGTATTTGTTCTTTGTAGTATTTTACAGTTAGTTCTGAAACAGCTCATTCATTTATTTAACTCAGTTGAACAAACATGAATTAATCCCTACATTTTTCCAGAAACAAGATATAGTGGATACAAAGAAGGCACTGAATTCAGTCCACTGGAAACTCATGGAAGAAACAGATGTGCCCAGTACAAGATACTAAGTTCAAAACTCGAGTGTGTCCACAGCAGGTATGGTGCAGTACCCATTTATCAGTTCCACCTGGGCCGAATGGCTCTGATTACAGGCATTCTAGTGCTATTACTAGAACCCTTTGTGGCCAGAAACAGATGTCCATAAGACAGAGCGACAGAACTAAAAGAAACCTCAGTTTGACAACGTTATCGATGGAATCATGGTAAAGAGTTTAAATCTTTAATGCAGATAGACTTGGACTTGAATCCCAATGCCTCTCCTCAGACACCCCCATACTTACACCCTCACATTGTTTGTTCTTTGCCAAATCACTTATCTTCTCTGAACCATGGTTTCCTCATCAGTAAAATAGGAAACTAATATACATTAAGTGTTTATGCATAAAACCTTACGTTAACAATACTGTTTTATATAAAGATTTGCTAAGAGGGTAGATCTTACGTTGTGCTCTTATTACAGCACAAAATAATAATAATAAAGAGAGTGGGAGGAAACTTTGTAGGTCAGAGAGATGTTTATGGCATAGATTGTGATGATGTTTTCATGGGTGTATACTTACCTCCAAACTTATCAAGTCGTAAACATTAAACATGTATAGCTTTTTATGTGTTAATCATACCTCAATAAAGTGATATAAAAATACATTAAATGTTTAATACCAGGCAGTAAATTTAGTATGAGTAAGTATGCAATACATGGAGAAACAAATTATTACTGTTATAGTATTTTTCTTCTTAGTAAGGGGATTATATTCTTACCTAAATGACTTCTATTTTTTTTATTTTTTTATTATTTTTTAAATATATCTTTATTGATTTCAGAGAGAGGAAAGGAGAGGGAGAGAGAGAGAGAGAAACATCAATGATGAGAGAGTCATTGATTGAGCCCGCAACCCGGGCATGTGCCCTGACCGGGAATCGAACCCTGATCGCCTAGATCCTAGGTCGACGCTCAACCGCTGAGCCACGCCCGGCCGGGCAATGACTTTTATTAATACAGAAAAAAATTGAAAATTAATTTGAGACATATACTTACTTTGAAAAATGGTTCTGAACCAAATAATTTCAGGTAGGGATCTAATCCCATTTCCTTCAATCTCTAAGGATTACACATAACAAGTTAGAAAAGAGTGGCAATTTATGTCCACCTTTGACATTTATTTACTGAGAGATGCTCAGCCAGTAGCAGGTGGTCTGATCTAGGATTTCCTGCCTCACCTGACAAGGTCATGACTAGAGAAGCTCTTTGTATGATGCAGGAATGGCTCTTCTCTGGGTCTAATATGCCAGAGCTTTTACTGACCCAAACAGCTGCTTTTCTGTGTTTTTCTGTGCTTTCCAGGAGCAATCTGGCCTGTAGATATCTCTACCTACATTTCATAAATACCTCTGTACTTATTACTAAACCTCTGAGGACATTTGAAGGTCTCAATTAGATGACAAATGCTATTCTTTCTATTATTTATTCAAGCTTAAGAACTAATTCTGAATGGATTGGAAGTTGCCCACACATTTTTTTCTTGGAAAATTGTATTTGTCTCCTTGTCCCTCCACCCACTGTACATTCACATTTGAGAGGTGCTAAATAAGTCACACATTTGAAATGTCATGCGTATCTAATTTTATGCCTGGCAACATACACTTTTTATTTTATTTTAAGAAAAGTAAACAATATGCCGCATTTCAAAAGTTTTGCCAAGCCTTATGTTATTGTTACACAGCATACGGAATCCTCCATTATAGCAATTTACCTATATAATTTCACAATAAAACCACATGCTTTTCATTTCTAAGGTATGCAGGAAGGCTGGGTGCAAATAATGGTATTTGATGTTTCATAAATATAATTAATGCCCTCAGAAAAATTCTGAGTTATATCTTTCATTTTGCCATGGAATCAACAAAATGATGAGAAACAGAATTGGAATATATGTATTTAGTAATCACAAAAGTGATAGTATAACTATTACTGCAAGATCTAAGTGAGAAACTTAACTTTAAATCAAGATCATTATCAAAAACATTGGAACACTGACAACGCTAAGTTTATTTTAGAGAATCACATTTAATATGCCCCTAAATGTGAACTGTTGACTTGTTAGTGGCTAAGATTTTAACTTCATCTTAATCCTATTAGGAAGTTTTTATTTTTCTATCAATATTAACTCCTTTCTATATACTGATGGTTCATTCCCCTGTTAGTTTTTTAAGCGACCCTTTTGTATTAAAATCAAAGACAGCATTTGAAATATACCATATTACTGCTTTCTTTCATTAATTCAAGAACTATTGGAATACAGTTCAGTAGTATTGCTTCTCTCACTACTCCTCGCCCCCAATGTGTGCCTCTCCCAGGAGGTGGGAGCATCGCCACCCAGGTAGTCAGCCAAATAACCCAGGAGTCATCCTTAATTTTTTTCTTTCCTTCCCCCCCAGAATCAGTACACAGCAAGTCCTGTGAGTTCCACCTACAAATAAATCCCAATCCTTTACTTCTCTCCATCTCCACCCCTCCCCTACTCTGAGTCACTATCATCTTTCTCATCAGGCTAATATAGTAGCCTCCAGAATCCTCCTGTTCCCACACTTCACCCATGCCCTGTCCCCAACACTCTGCGCCAGCAGAGAATGTGATCTTTCAAACACACACACGTTAAAGCTCCGCTTAAAGCACTCAGCTTCCTTCTTGAATCCAGGGAGGCCAAGCTTATCCCCACCTCAGCTGTTCCCACCTATGCTCTGCCTGCGGGGCCCTTTCCCCACATTTTCCTGTCTCAGATGTCTCAGATTGCTGTGCTCCCCACTCACTATTGTTATCTCTTCATGGCACTTAACACTCTGAGTTTTTTAAAAAATTCATTAAAAAATATATATATATATCTTTATTGATTTTAGAGAGAGGAAGGGAGAGGGAGAGAGAGACAGAAACATCAATGATGACAGAGTCACTGATCAGCTGCCTCCCGCATGCCCCTGACTGGGGATCGAGCCCGCAACTCGGGCATGTGCCCTGACCGGGAATCGAACCGTGACCTCCTGGATCCTAGGTTGATGCTCAACCGCGAGCCACGCCCTGCCGGGCTATAAACTTCATTTTTTAAGAGCTGTTTTAGGTTTACAGAAAAATTCAGCAGAGAGCACAGAGTTCCCTTTACCCCTTCTCCCTTACCTCCCTAAACAATTTCCCCTATTATTAACATCTTACATGAACGTGGTACATTTGTTATAATTGCTGAGCCAATACTGATAGAATTAGCTGAAGTCTATATTCTATATTAGGGTAACTCGGAGTGTTGTACATTCTATGTACAACAAATCTATAATGTCATATACAGGGGATGGGGGTGGCAAAAGTAGGTTAATAATAAATAACTTAATAAATAAATAATACAATAAATAAATAAATAATACAAGGATAAACTCGTGTACTCACAAAGTAGGTGAGTAAACCTACTTTTGCCTTTCCTTGTGTTCACCATTATAGTATCATACAGAATAGTTTCACTGTCCTAAAACTCTGCTTCACCTATTCACCCCATCCCACCCAACCTCTGGCAGCCACTGATCTTTTTATTGTCTCTATAGGTTTGCTTTTTCCAGAATGTCATATACCTGGACTCGTACAATATGTTCACTGTTTGATTTTTTAAAATATCAATTATTAACCATGGCCCCTCTAGAGCAGAGGCCTTATGAAAACAGGGACCTTATCTGTCTCGCCCTCTCCTTTTCCCACAGTGCCTACGAGAGGCCCTCAGTGGATCCCCTGTTGGGATCTGTGGATTGAATGAATGGCTGAACCTACTCACCAACCCAATAGAGTGCAACCACCTACACCCTTGAAATACTCTTTTCTTGAATTGCTCTAGTAACTTTGGAGCAGATTTATCTGGGTTTCTGACTTTTACATTAGTGCTTTGCAGATACTGGGAAAAGAAGAATTGTTTTCCAGCCCAAGTGGTTGGGGGTGTGGCTGCTCTGGGACCTTTTGCCACCTGAGACCAACATCTCATGTAGGGATATATACCCAGTCCTTTTACACTTACAGGTGCTCCCTGGGTTGGAAATGCAGAACCCGGAGCATGTGTTACATGTTAATAGTGACACCGTCATAACTAACCTAGTAATGAATAACTGGAAAGGAGAGGGGGAAGGCCAAATATCACAGGGATTCATTTGCGCAGCTTTGCCGGGAAGCTGCAGAGTAGCCTCGTGCCCAGTAAGGTCTCGGTGACTTAGGGGAGGCACCTGTCTGACAGTCACACCTGAGAACAAATAAAAATCACTCACCCTCCTGTGAGAGTCTCAGGAAACTCCTTTTCTCGAGATATCTGAAGGACCCCACTCCCACCAGCAACGGAGAAAGGACATCCATGCATTTCTCCGATGCCAACAGCAAGCTCTGCCCTGCCTCCCCCACCCTCGGGCGCTCCCAGGCCGCTCATGAACCTGCTTCCCCACCTTCCTCCCTTTAACCTTGCCTTTGCTCTTCTGAATCTTACCATTCCCCCCCGAACAATTTCAATTTTTATTGCTCTTCACCCCTTTCTATATTCCTGTCCTCACTTCCTTTTACATCTGTGAAGCAGTAAAACACCCTAACGTGACTGACAAGAGACAGAACAGCACTGGAGGTTTCCTGTGTTAGGAAAATGAAGAGCCAGATATTTTATAGTGCAATTAACCGTTTCAAGAAACCACACCCTGGAAAACACTAAAAAATGCCCAGAGGTCTCTGCCACCATTTCCATAACCTCCAACGTTCTCTTGTTAAAATTCTTTTCCTTTAACCTCTACAATATATAAAAATCAATTTTCTCAATTCTTAAGTGATTTTTTTGTTTATTGTGTCATGATTTTTAGAAATCTTCTTCTTTAATGCCTGCCCCATAGGAGATGCCTCTGAATTTATTAGGATGGAAGTTTTAGACTGTTCTTACTACTTCCTATATTTAGAGTCAAGGAAATATGTTTATCATCGCCCTATTTGAGGCCTTAATTATTTTATATCCTTCATGTTTTGACCTACTCAGCCTCTGCCTTTTCAAATAGCCCTAATCTTTCTAACATAAACCCCTTCCCAGCGTGGGGAGCACAAATGAACAAACAAAATCCAGTAAAACACTAGCAACACTGTTGATTGTAGAAAGAATAAATAGCAGGATGTCTTTTGGGGCATTTGAAAACTAAGGAAGCACTGTTTTTTAAAATGTGCAAAATTAAACAGAATGAAATACACAAGAAAATGTTATTAAAACCCATTTGTAAACTTCAAATATTTTAAGGCACAGAATTTTCAAAAGAAGAAAATCTGTTTATATTTGAAAAGTAACTGTTAACTCATTCAATACCAAAGAACACTGCCTAGTTTAGTGAGTTTAGGTTTAGTTTGGGTTCTACTTTTTAAAAAATTAGAAATATACTTTTAAAGGCTTTACATTTATAACTTGTAATTTACAAAGCTATTTGCAGTTATACTTTTATAGTATTCATTCACCTAAAAGAATTAGCTGGTAGTGAATTGGGCAGCCCTCGAGTCTATAATCATTTCCTTTTCATGCCTGGAATTTTATACAATGCTTTCAGGGCCCTTTAAAAATAAGTAAATCAATCCTTTTTAAGGAGTAAGCTTGCCCCTATGACATATTTCTTTTAAAAAATGTTCCTGAGTTCCATAAAAATGATATAAATGAAGAAATAAAGTAAGCCCCAAGTGTGCCCGTGGGACCTGAATGACTCTGAGGGCTTTAGGGGTCTCAGGGAACCCCTTTCTAAAGCTTCATGCTCAGGGTTGATCAAGTCACTAAAAACCTAGTGCAACGCCTGCCCCATTCCGCAGGTCGGAGCCCACGGTCGCGTCGGCCTTCCTTTAGCTATCACTCCTCGGCAGGTACGACACCCCCAACTCAGCAGGATCACAGTCATAGTCTTGCTTCTGTTCCGAGGCTTTTCAGCATTCACGTGAACGGCAAACGCATCCAATAATATTAAGCAGTGGGCTGGGGGAAGGGCAAAATACATAAAGGAGCAAACTTACCATCAAACACGTTACTACAATCACAAAGATGCTGAGAAAGATGACAACGGCATAGAATCCTTCTTTGCTCCAGATCTTGTCGGCTTCACGCTGCCCTCGTAAAACATTTTCCTTTATAAGCAAAACAGAAAGTCCGACGTTAGATGAGAGCTGGAGGAGACTGGCGTTCTTATCAGACACTGAACATATTTTTAGCTCTGTTCCATTCAGCGTAGTGAACACACCTACATTCCCTGCTGCCGGCGCTGCTCCCCAGACCCATCTGAGCCGAGGCACTGCGGCACCTACACGCACATTATCTCGTCTCCTGTCCGGGAGCGAGCACGCCCCGCCTGGCAGACGGGGTCCAAGGCTCCCTACCTGCCCCTTACAGTCTCTCTTGGAAACGACCTGGTTCGTAGGTAAGAGAGTTCTGTTCTTTTCTGTGTTGAGGAAACTGTTTTTGAAGACTTCTTCCCTCTGTGTGAAGTCCCCTCCCACCACAGCAACACCCTGTCATGCAGCTCTTAACTTCTCAGCAAAAGCAAAACAGGTGCAAACAAAACCTCATGATGCATTAATAAGCAGAGCAACAACGTCAGGATCATTTCCTTCTTTCTTTTTCTCTTTTATCGAATCTTTTTATTTTTTTTCATGCACTCCTATTTGTTAAAATCTGATTAAAGTATCACCTCACCTACATAAATTGTTAGAATATTGTATTTTATTTAAGCATCAGGGAACATCAAGAAGTCCGGAATTATTTAGGAATAAAGGTGAAATAAATACTTTTAGTTTTATTTAGACTTATTTTTTTGGTGTTGTTTACTACTTTGGGGGTGGAAGGGTAGAGAAGCATGAATAGACTGTGAATGAGTGTCTTAATTTTATTTCACCTATTCTTTAAGAAAAAAAGCATAGCTACTAAATCAAGTCTTGAAATGCAATTAGTTTTAGGAGTTAGTGAAATTTATACATGTGTAGTTAAAGAAACTTTAACTAGAAACCAAATGGTCCACAATTAGGAAAAACATAAATGCTAAATCAAGTGAAATGTTTACACTTTGTTGAAGGCTGCCTTTTTCCCCTTTGTGAGAGTTATGTCTGTCCTGGGATACTGTCTCCAATGTTTAAGTAAGTCTTAACAAGATATTGAATGCTGAAAAGTCACATGGAGAAAGGCCCTAGAAAATGAGAGGTCATCTTGGACATTTCAGCGGCAAATGAGTCCCCAGCTTAATGTAACCACTGGGGTGACTTCAGCCTGTACTGGAACAGAAGAACAAGCTAGCTGATCCCAATCAACCCACAGAATCATGAGAAATAAATAACAGTTGTTGGAAAAAAAAAAAAAAAAGAAAGAAAGCCTTGAATAAAACCTGACCTTGTATCTGAACTTAGAAGTCATTGCTAATTATTTTTCGAGCCTTTAAAAAATAATAGAATACATTCACCATTTGTAAATTAGACAAAAAGAAGTATTTGCCTTGAAAAACATTTTATGAAAACTTCTATCCTGGAACTCAAGTGAGTCTTGGTGGGGAGTTGAGTAAGGCAGAACAGAGAGGGTGTGTTAAATTAAACGAGTTAAATTGTGATTAAAAACAATTTGAAGTAGTCTTTTACTGCTTGAAATTGTTGAGTTTCCATTTTCTTTGCTTGTAAAACATTGATGTGCTCACTACTTTATCTTGCCTACTTTCTAAGACACAGACAAATTCATAGATATAAGAAATGATTTTGAGATATATTTTTAAAATATGTGAATGTTAAGCGGTCGGCGAATCTGAAAAAGACTTCCTTGATGAAATGACTGGAAACCAAGTATCTTTCTGGAAGGGAAATCTTGGGTTCAAGTGACAACTTCTCTTTTACGCTGTGACCTCATCCAGATCAATTTTATTCCAATGTGTCCATAAACATAGCTGGCAACTAATAAAAAAAGAAAACTCTTGAAGAAATCTAAGGATGTAAATGAATTTTTTGCAGGCAACTAAATATCATCTATTGCTTGCGATAAAAGCAAACAAGTGAAGCCTTCAAGTAGGCAGCATAAACTTGTCAAATATAAGTATGAGGATCTGAACTTTAGTTAATGTAAAATTTGGATAAAACGGGGTGGTTAGGTGGGTGGAAAGAGATGTTGTGTTCCTAACCTGATCTGGTTCATTTCTTTTTTTCCTGTTGTAGTTACACACCTCCTGGAATATCAACATGTTCCTTTCTGTTTAAGACAAATCTGTTTTGTTTCTTTTTAACCGAAGCAGTGATAATGGAAGAATTAACCTCCCACCCCCCACTCTCCCACCCCCAGTTAGAAAGACACACGTTTTGTACTCCCAGAGCTTAGTCACTGCACTTTCTTGGTAAATAGATTTCCTTCTGAGTCATGCTATTTCTACTGAGCACTACTATATTTGTACAGAGATCTAAAAGACTTGATAAGGGTAGGGTAATAAATGGAAAAGTTTGTAGTTAAGGTTCCACAAATCAAAAGAGCATAATTCACAGGACTCTCCCATCTAACCTTCGCATAACATTAAAGTGATGCCTTTTATACTTTGTCAGGGCACAATAATTCAGAGACTCCATGGCCGGGTCAAGCCAGCGCCGCTGTATCATCTTTCCATCTTATTTCAAATATTCTAATAACATTTGCCCTTTAACTTTGTTGCAGTGAAAGTTGTTGGGTTCTGTTTTGTTTCGTTTTATGATTTAAAATTTGGGCAGTTTCCTGTCTCACTGTATCAATAAGAATGGCTTCTCTATATCTTTTTTAATAATTTGAGGCCCTATCGTTTTCTTGTCATAATCTTTTAAATCAATTCCGATCCCAGATTGTTAGAGAGATTTCCAAATGCTAAGAGAGAACAATATAGAGGCTTTAGGAGATATATCTCTTTAAGAGAGATGAAGCACACAGAATAAGAATGAAGCCCGGCCGGGCGTGGCTCAGCGGTTGAGCATCGACCTAGGATCTAGGAGATCGGGGTTCGATTCCCGGTCAGGGCACATGCCCGGGTTGCGGGCTCGATCCCCAGTTGGGGGTGTGCAGGAGGCAGCCGATCCATGACTCTCTCATCACTGATGTTTCTCTCTCTCTCTCCCTCTCCCTTTCTCTCTCTGAAATCAATGAAGATATATTAAAAAAAAAAAAATGAAGTAGAAATATAAATTATTTGGCTAATTGATTGATCAGGCAGATAAACGAGACGCAGCCTACGACACCATGGTTTTGTCAGATGAGCACCACTGTACACTGTGCAATGCACGGGGTGAACAGCTAGGGCCCAGCGATCCGACCTGTGCTAACAGCATATTCCTCCTCAGCACAGTCTGTCTGGGGCTAGAATTCTTTAGACTGCTGGCTAATGTTCCTAGTTTGAGGGAACAATTACCAAACTCCCAGATTAAGGTTTATATTTATTTGGTATGATTTTTTTCTCTTTGTAAATATTCCATAGAAGTATCAGCTGACGTACTGGCTTGTTATTTAAAGAAGGGAACTTCCTCCTTTGCAATAGAAGACCTGTAAAACGGGAATAATTTGCAACTGAACAAAAACAGCCAAATCCTAAATCATTTTTAGCGTGAATGCGGAACTAATTGTTTCAATAGAGTTTAATTTTATAAAAACATTTAAAAATGAAAACGCAAATAATTAATTTAATTTTATTTCCCCAAGATCTGACTTAATTAGACAAGAAGTCTAGTTTTATCTTTGTGAACATCTTATAATAACATAATATTTGTGTGCCTACAATGTTCTAGGTATCATATAAAAATATTTTTTTAAACGTCTTTTCATTCCCAGAAACCGTAGCTTCAAAATGAAAACAGACAATAACAGAAGTAATTCTCTAGTTGGTATTTTTCTTTCTTTCCCAAGAGTTATTTCTGATTTAAAAAAAAAAATCAAGCAAATAAAGACATGGCAACAACGAAAACACATCCTTCCCTGAAAGTCCTTAATGTAAGTTTGGGAATAGATACTTTGAGACCTGATTCACAATGTTCTGTAATTCACGTAAAGGATGAAAAACCAAAATAACAATATTCATTTTTTTCTTTTAATAAACCTGCTCCCATAACAAAGCTGTAATTTTAAGATAAAAACGCGAAGGAATGGGCTGAGGTGTAAGCTGTCATCACGCTAACCACAGAGATGAGTAAAGTGGGGAAACTCACAGCCTGAACTACGACCTGCAGCACCCCTTTGGGCGGTTCCTGTCTCAAGCGCTTCCCCCCAGCTCCCCAAACCAGGGGCACTTGCTCCTCTCTGCATTCAGAGCTTCCGGTCAGAAGGTAATGCTGGGCCCCTTTTAAAAACGCCTGAACAAAAGACTCCATCAATTCACCCGTCCTTGATGAAATGCTCCTTATAGCCAATTAAGAGACTTTCTAGCCTCCTGTAACATAATATTTCCTAGGGTCTAGATTTCCTGGATTTCTAGATTCCCACAATTTCATAAGAAAATATGAAATTCTGACCATCAAATGCACTTTGATTATTAAAGCACAGACCTGTGGTCTTGGGGGCTACTAACAGTTCCGTGACAGGCAGTCGGGCTGAGCTTCCCCTTCACTGAGCTGGGGTGTTGGAGGACCCCCCAGATGCAGACTTGATTTTAACTAGTTTTTTTGGTATGGTGAGCTTCTCTTGGTTCACAAATCTGGATGACTCACTAAGCTGCCAAATTCCTGAAGAATTAAGAATGGCATTTAAACTCAGAATAAAGCAACAGGGAAGAATACTTATATAAGTCACTGGAAGCCCACAGGAAGCAGAATACATGAACCCAGTGGTCTTTTAAAATCTTAAAGAACTGTCCTGAGCAAAATGGGCACAAGCCGGTCTGTGAAGGACCTGGACTAAGGAACGGGTTTGGGTCTATGTACAAAGGGAAGCCCCTCCAGGGCCGCAGGGGGGAGGGCTGCGAGGGGAGTGGGTGTCCCGGCTCATGTTCTTTCCCTCTGGTCTCGCTGAACCACCAGGCGGCCCCTTTCTCCTCAGAGCTCCCGAGGACAGTACAGCAGCAGCGCCGTACCCCTGCGTTCTCCTGATCAGCTCGTACCCTTCCTGCCCTGTTAGAACCTAAACGTACCGAAAGGAACAATCATTTTATTTGTTTATGAGTTTATTTTTCTGACTCTGGATACCACCAGCACAGTGTTTGGCTATCTGTGTGCCTAGGGAATACCAGGCGCTGAATGAAGGCACCGAGGACACAGGTGAAATGCACGGCCTGCCTCTCGAGGAACCTGCAGTGTCGAGATGGCCTTGAAGGCCGACCGAGCACAAGGGACTTTGATACGGGGCTCGGTGAGGACGCAAACCAGTGAGCACTCGCGGCGGAGGCAGAAGGCAAGGCTCTGCTGTACGGCCCGCCGAGAGGGAACCATGGGGGGTGTAGAAGGATCAACGTACACAAAAGCGAGGGGGGAAGTATGGGGTGTCACGGTGCCTCTTAAGTCTGGAATTGCTGAAGCAGAAACTGGGAGAGGGTTGTTCAACAATTTTAAAGCCCAGCACACAAAGGATCACATACCGTAGCTAGAAATGCATGTTTGATTCTGTAGCATTGAGGAGGCCAAAGAAGAATCATGATATTAAGAGGGCATGGCCAGATTTACTTTAGAAAGATTACTCTGGTGCCAAGAGAGAAAATATACTCTCTGTGTGTGTGTGTGTGTGTGTGTGTGTGTGTGTGTGTGTGTGTGTGTGTGGAGGGCAGGGATCACAGCGATGCTAAATGCGGAAAGACCAGTTGGAGATTGTTGTTCCAGTCACAATTCAATGATGACGGACATTTTCATTCTGCCAATCAATCCTGCATTCAAATATTTGTTCAGTGCCAACTGTATATAAGGATTTCCACAAACATTTAAAAAATTAATTCTCATTTCAACTCTATAAAATAAGGACTATACCCTTTTCCCCCCCTACTATACCCATTTTGGATACGAAGAAACTGAGCCTCAGAGACACTGACACCACATAAAGACTTAACCTCGCAGAAATGAAATCACCTGCCCAAGGTCACACACGCACCTTAAGTGGCTTTGGGTTTCAAACACAGTCTTGTACCAAAGCTTTTAATGCCACACCTGGGGTATTTGTTGAAATGAGAGGCAATAAGCTTTACTGAAAAGTGGAACAGGTTAAAAATCAAGATGTCTAGATTTTAAACATTGCTTTATACCTCACGTGCTTTGTCACCTTGATGACTTCACTTAATTTCTATGAGTCTTACTTCTGTACCTATAAAATGTTCCCACACGTTCCTTCAAGGTTGAATTCTGTGATTCTGTGAATTTAATTATATATGTTTAAGAGAATGATCATTCTAGCAGGTTTCTTAGAGCAGGGTGGAATAGGAAGAGTAGAAAAGGGATAGAATTCATCCAGGAGTGAGAATGGTAGGGTTGGTAGGGGAAATTTAAACAGCATCAAATTTGGAAAACACCATGAAGAAAATATCCATATGCTTAAGATTGGGATCCTCAGAAGAGAAAAATCACATCTCAAATTAATTTCAAGGTTGTGAAAAAAGGTGACTATCTGGTGACTATTTGGCCAATGAAAGTGGTAAGGAGAGGTGCACTTGTTGAATAAGAAAGATTTGAGTGTGTTTTTTGGACATTTCAGTTTGAAATAACCAATTGGCAAAGATACCTAAATGGCCTTCCTTCTAGACAATGTACTGAGTAAATCAAAATAAATTACAAGGTCATAAAAATTTGGAGAAGAAAGTGTCAAAAATGGAAACTGATGTGAAAATGAATTTCCTTAAGGAATAACATATATGGGTGAAGATCAGAGAATTCTGACTCTTGGGGAGATTTTTCTTTTCAAATAACATACAATAAATAGCATTAATATCAGAGCCTCTTGAGGTTGGGTTACCACGCCATGCTAACTGCAAATTTTTAGGTGAAATCTTCTGTGCAGCAACATACCTCAGGGGAGATGTCTGTAACTCCAAATTGGGATAAACTCTGATGCAAAACATTGGTATTAAGTGAACGCAGCACTTCCTCAGATGGCAGGGCATCAGCAATTCCTCCTTTTCGATTTATGGGAGACACGAAGAGTTCCACGCTGTTCTTCTTTCCCTAGTAAAATCAGGTTGTTTGTATAGGTTAATAGACATTTTCAACAACTTTGGGAATTTTTTTTTTTTACCTTCCTCTAGAAAATCAGAACCCTAGAGTCATAAAAGGCATCTTGGAGGTTACACTTATTAGTTTATTCTTTGGTACACTTAATAATACCAGCCTAGAGCCTGAAGTCTTCAAATGGCCTTCCTTCAAGTAATTGACACCTCAAGATTTGTAACTGTATATTTCATTGGATGCTGGTTTATTTTCCATTGCATATTGTAATTAAAAAAAAAATTTTTCCTTCACTATTTTTCTCCCCTATACCCTCTTCCAACTTCAGTCCCCTCTTCCCCCCACCAATCACCACACCGTTGTTCCTGTCTATGAGTTCTTCCTTTTTTCCCCTTTGTTTTTCAATCCCTCCATGCCCCTTGCCTCCCCCAAGCCCCCAGAGCTGTCAGCCTGCTCTCTGAGTCGGTCTCTATTTTACTTGTTTTGAAATATACTGTTCAGATTTTCCCTGAGTAATTGTGTTTAAAGAAGCATTATAAAGTCAAATGAATTAAATAAAACCTGATGCAATAGTACATTTATTAGACATTGCCACTCCATTTACTTTTCTTACAATTTGTATTAATGGAAGGCGGGAATCACTAAGGAAGGTGAAGCTACATGAGTTCTGAAGTCATGTCCCTGATTCTGTTCTTCACCTCAAATGTCACACTTTTAAAGTCTATCCTTGGGCTTGGCCGAGAGTGGCTCAGTGGTTGAGCGTCGACCTAGGATCCAGGAGATCGGGGTTCGATTCCCAGTCGGGGCACATGCCTGGGTTGCGGGCTCGATCAATGACTCTCTCATCATTGATGTTTCTATCTCTCTCTCTCCCTCTCCTGTCCTCTCTCTGAAATCAATAAAGATATATTTTAAAAAATAAATAACTAAAATAAAGTCTCTCCTTGGGTAGAAAGGCATGTGTTGTACAGTAACATACTTTCCTATTAGTATGACCTCATCAGCTGAAATGGAGACAGAGGATTTTTTTCCCTACCATAAATGGCAGACAGGACACATACATGTAAAAAATAAACACATCATGAAAATACTATTGCCACTGATAGATTCTCTTTACAAGTTACACCATGTACTTATGGAGGGAATTATTGCTAGTCTTTTCTTTTTGACATGGAGTTCTCTCATGCTAGAAAATTTTCTTTCAATGCAATTTATCAGAAGTTCAGCCAGGTATAAAATACTACTAGCAAGCCAGAAAAAACACATTTTCTGTCTTTGCAGGAAACAGCAGGCAATGACTGAGTATAGCACAATACTGATGTCAAACATGTTTATAATAATTTAAATAGTTTATGACCTAATAACAACAATACGACCTAAGAGGAACAGAGCACTTGTTTTTTGCTTAAAATCTGTTATCTCATTTAGTGCTCAAAACCCCTCCAGGACATGGGTGTTCTAGTTTTCTCCATTTTGCAAATGAAGAAACATAAGTAGCTTGCCTGAGGTCATACAGCTGGGACAAGGCCAAGCTGGAAATGAGCTACGCTTCTGTCTGCCTCCAAAGTGCACGCTCTTCATCACCTGCTCTGCTGCCTCGGTATCATCATAACTCTACCCATTATAATAACTTGGAAACAGAGGTGTATAGGGGAGACTAACATTCTCCAGGGACATGCGCATCCCTGCCTGGGTGTGGCAAATCCCTTTTCTTATCCCTGCAAAGAGCTACTATGCTAAATAAAGAAAGAAAGAAAATCTAAATATATAAAAAAATCTAGATCTAGCGATAAGACATCTATAATACCTAAATCTTCTCATTTAACCAAGGTATACTTTGGATATAAAACCCATTTCCCTCTTTCAGGGTATTAGGAAATTCTGTATTTCCTCTTCTGTGGTACTGAGTTTAAAATTTAGCTTTTTAACGCTTATTTAGTTCCAGAAAATAGTTGATTTAGAGGATAAAGTCATTATGGGGAAGAAAACAACTCATCCCTCCACACACATAACAATGAAAAGAAACAAAAACCCTAGACCAAAATAAAAAGCCAGTTCTTCTCCAGGGCTGGAAATGAGGGTGTTGATTCAGAAGGTCGCTGAGCCTGAGCAGGAGAGGCAGGGCTGAAGGCAAGGAAAAAGCACTGCCCTTGCCGAGTTCCCACTGCAGTGGAAATTAAGAACAATTTTAAAACTGTAAAATGATTCCAAAGTCCCTTTTCACAGGAACCTTAGGTAATTAGCTTTTTGCAAAGGGAAAGTCATCTGCTTTGAATCCGCCTTTCTCTGCCTTTGCTCACGCCTGCCTTCAAGTGCAGATGGGAGCAAGTAGTTGGGTGACATCAAGGTTCCCAAACGCTGAGAAAAGCGGGGAAGAAAGGATGTGGGTGATTGATTGAAAGATGGGTTTAAAGTGGGCTCTATACAAAAAATCCTTCGGGTTTGCCTCATCCCCCCCCATATACCTACCCAAGTTTTCTCTACGCTTTTCAGAACCATCTACTCTTGCATTCCACTTGGACTGCCCTCAAGGTTGTTTTTTCTTTATTTATTAATCAAAATACTCTGTGCATTAAGTATCCTTCACCCTACAACTATCCCTGAAAGAGTTTTCATAGACACCATCTGGAGACAGTGCTTTAACTAATGCAGAAGGTTTCACTTTTCAGAAGAATATTTTGGGTGTAGTGTCAGGTTGGTGAGAGGCCCCTCTATTCATACCTACGAGAGTACTATCCTTGAACTATGAGAGGATTGATAAACTTTTTCTGTAAAGGGCCAGAGAGCAAGTATTTTAATCTTCGATTTAGCCAAACAATCTGTTAGAATGATTCAGCTCTGTCACTGTAGCATGAAGTAGCCATAGACAGTATGTAAACAAATGACTGGGGCTTATTGCAATAAAAGTTCCTTTACAAAAACTGCTGGTATGCCAGGTTTGGCTCAGGGGCAAAGCCCTACAGCATGGGTGTTTTTAATTATTGTTCTTTATTATTGAGACCTCCAATGAAGATCAAAGCTTGTGTCTGGGAATGTGGAATGGAGACATCTTACAATGAGGCGATTGATGTGCACTTGCTGGGGTAAGAGTCCTAAAGCTGACGCCACCCCCTGGCGGAATATTCGAAGCAAGGTGATGTTCAACTTGTTGATGTCCATTTGCAGTGTCTGGAAAAAAAAGAAAAGAAATCCAAGTTATAGTTAAGTGTTTAGTTCAAGATATTTAGCTCCTGACCACAACAATTTCTGTGACTTTGATAAATTTACACTTGTGTGCTTTGTTGCATTTTTAATAGAGAGAAATTATAGGGATATTTTATGTGAAAGTGTAAATGGTGTTAGTTAAAAAGATGGTGTATTGTATAATAATGCAATTTGGATAGTTATATTGATTAATAAGATATATGAATGATTAATTCATAAAGGATGTCACTGAAATGGGTGTTGGTTCATTTAGCTTTATCTCAAGTCCAGATGACAGAATGGAGTATTTGGCCAAGTATATTTCAGTGATCCAAGCTGAAGGACAGCTTTCATTCGTGTTCACACACAGCCACAGACAGGAAGGTGCTGTGTGAGTTCCACACCACTGGACTTGGCAGCTTCTCTACACAGTGATCCAACGTCAACTCAGGGCAAAGAATGAGATGCAATGATGCATTTCCAGACTCTGGTAACAAAACCAATGGTTCTGATGATTTGGCCTAAGGTAAACAATTCTCATTCAACTGTTTGGGTAAGCACTCTTAACTTTCAAGTTGTCTTGGAAAAAGGCAGCTAAATGTTTAAAAACTCCTAAAGTACAAATCAAGTTATGAAATTAATAATATAGCTTTAATTTAAGTCATGGGTGCCATTATTACATTTAAACCATCAATTAGTTAGCTACTTTCAAAAATGCATCATGATCATTTGAGATAGTGCTTAAGATGGGTAAACCCAATCTTTATGCATTTCATACATATATATTTGATAATATTTTATTTTTACCCCCTCACCAGTTTCTTCCATCTTCCACCCCTCATTTCTGCCAACCACCAATCTATTCTCTGTATCTATGAGCTTTTTTTCTTTTAAATATTTCACATAAAAGAGAGATCATTTGGTATTTGTCTTGTCTTTCTCCGTCTGACTTATTTCACCTGGCATAATGAATGCCTTTGCTGTCCATCCACATTGGAGCAAATGGCAAATGGCAAGATTTCATTCTTTTGGGGGCTGAATTTTATTCCTATATATATATATACACATACACACGCACACGCACACACACACACATAATTTCTTTAAGTCTTTATCCATTGATGGACACTGAGACTGTTTCTATATATTGGCTATTGTAAGCAATGCTGCAATGAAATGGGGGTGCATATATTTTTTCAAATTAGTTTTTTCATTTTCTTCAGATGAATATCCAGAGGTGGAATAGCTGGATCATATGGTAGTTGTATTTTTAATTTTTTGAGGAACCTCCACACTGTTTTCCACAGGGGCTCTCCCAATTTCCTTTCCCACTAACAGTGCTCAAGGGTTCCCTTTTCTTCACATCCTGACTGACACTTGCTATTTCTTGCCCTTTTGATAACAGCCATTCTAACAGGTGTGAGGTGATCTCTCATTGTGGTTTTGATTTGCCTTTCCATGATGATTAATAATGTTGAGCATTTTTTCATGTACCTGTTGGTCATCTTTGAAAAATGTCTATTTATATCTTCTGCCCATTTTTAAATTGGATTTTTTTCTTTTACTGAGTTGTATGAGTTCTTCGAATTTTGGATATTAACCTCTTATCAGATGATTTGCAGATAGTTTCTCCCATTCAGTAGGCTGCCTTTTTATTTTGTTAATGGTTTTCTTCACTCTACAAAACTTTTAGGTTTGATGTAGTCCCACTTGTTTATTTTTGTTTTTGTTTTGCTTTAACTTCTGGTGTCAGAGTCAAAAAATCATCCCCAAGGCCTATCCAAGGAGTTTACTGCGTAAGTTTTCTTCTAGGGGTCTTATGCTTTCAGGTCTTATGTTCTAGTCTTTAATCATTTTCAGTTAATTTTTGTGTATGGTGTAAGATAGTGGTCCAACTTCATTCTTTTGTATGTGGCTGCCCAGTTTTCCCAACACTGTTTACTGAAGAGACTGTCCTTTCCTCAATGTATATTCTTGGCTCCTTTGCCATAAATTATCTGTGGATTTATTTCTGGGCTCTCTATTCTTTTCCATTGATCTGTGTGTCTTTTTTTATGCCAGTATCATATTGTTTTAATTACTATAGCTTTGTAACAGAATTTGAAATCAGGGAGTATGATTCTTCCAGCTTTGTTCTTCTTTATCGACATTGCTTTGGCTGTTCGGGGTCTTCTGTGGTTCCATGTAATATTTTTGGATTGTTTTTTCTGTGGAAAATGCCACTGGAATTTTGATAAAGACTGCATGGTATCTGTAGGTTGCTTTAGGAAGTATGGACATTTAAATAATATTCATTTTTCCAATCCATGAGCACAAAACATCTTTCCATTTTCGTGTGTGTTTCTTCTTAAATTTCTTTACTTACTGTCTTATAGTTTTCAGTATCTAAGTCTTTCACCTCTTCGGTTAATTTTATTCCTTCATATTTTATTCTTTTTGATGAAATTGTAAATGGGATTGTTTTCTTAATTTTCCTTTCTGGTAGTTCATTAGTAGTGTGTGGAAATGCAACAGATTTTTTTGTACTGATTTTGTATCCTGCAACATTACTGAATTAATTTACTAGTTTTAACAGTTTCTGATGGAGTCTTTAGGGTTTTCTAGATATATCATTTGCAAATAGTGACAGTTTTACTTCCTTTCCAATTTAGATGCTTTTTTTTTTCTCCTTGCCTAATTGACCTGGCTAGGACTTCCAGTACTAAAAATGAAAGTGGTGAGTGTGAGCATCCTAACCTTGTTTCTAATCTTAGAAGAGCTTTCAGCTTTTCACCATTGAATATAATGTTAGCTGTGGACTTGTCATATATGATCTTTACTATGCTGAGGTATGTTCCCTCTATACTCTGTTAAGTATTTATCATAAATAGATGTTGAATTTTGTCAAGTGCTTTTTCTACATTTATTGATAGGATCGTACGATTTTCATCCTTAATTTTGTTAATGTGGTATATAACATTGACTGATTTGCAGATGTTGAGCCATCTTTGCAATTCTGTAATAAATCCCACTTGATCACGGTATAACATCCTTTTATTTAAATCCTCACCTGAGGATATGTTTCTATTGATTTTTAGAGAAAGAGGAAAGGAGAGAAAGTGAGAGAGAGAGAAACATTGATCAGTTGCCTCCCATATGCACCCCAAGCAGGGATTAAACCCGCAACCCAGATATCTGCCCTGATGGGGAATTGAACCCGCAAGCTTTTGGTGTATGGGACGATGCTTCAGCCAACTGAGCAACTGGTATAACAGTTGGTATAACATCCTTTCAATGTAGTGTTGAATTCAGTTTGCTAATATTTTGTTGAAGATTTTTGCACCTATGTTCATTAGGAATATTGACCTATACTTTTCTTATAACATCCTTACCTAGTTTTGGTATCAGGGTAATGCTGGCCTTGTAAAGTGAGTTTGGGAGAGTTCCCTACTCTTCTATTTTTTGGAAGAGTTTCAGAAAAATTGGTATTACCTCTTTTTTTGAATGTTTGGTAGAGTTCACCAGTGAAGCCATCTGATCCTGGACTTTGTTTGTTAGGAGGTTTTTGATTATTGATTCAATCTCCTTACTATTAATCAGTCTGGTCAGATTTTCTATGTCTTCATGATTCAGTCTTGGTAAATTGTATATTTCCAGAAATTTATTAATTTCTTATAGGTTGTACAATTTATTGACATATAATTGTTCATAGTGGTCTCTTGTGATCCTTTGTATTTTTGTGGTGTCAGTTGTAATAGCTCCTCGTTCATTTTTTATTTTTTAAAAATATAGTTTTTTATTGATTTTAGAGAGAGGAAGGAAGAGGGAGAGAGAGATAGAAACATCAATGAGAGAGAGTCATTGATTGGCTGCCTCCTGCACACCCCCTATTGGGGATGGAGCCTGCAACCTGGTCGTGTGCCCTGACCGGGAATTGATCTGTGACCTCCTGGTTCATGGGTTAATGCTTAACCACTGAGCAACACTGGCCAGGCTATTTTTGATTTTTTTAATAATGAATTTATAAATCTTTCTGCATTTCTTTATATTTTTAATGTTTAAGTAACAAACTGGACCACAGTAGGTGATCAATAACTGTTGGATGGCTGCTATTTCATCTATTCTATAAAATGAGGCACATTTCCATGTATATACTTCTCCAATGAAGAGATTGGCTCACAAGTATAAACTACTCTAGTGTATAAACACTTACACTAGAGGGCCTTCTCCTAGTTCGATGTAAAAGGAGAATGATACTGTTTCAATATTTTATAGCCTTATTAGGAAACAATACATTTTCTATCCATAAAGTTAGTATAAAATAAATGACTGGAAACTGGACCTGATGCTCAATGTTATAGGAATCAGAGGGAGCTGGGGGAGTCAAAAGAGGGTTAGTGGTTACCCATAGGAATGGTGGACCCAGCCAACGCCCCAGAATGCCTTATTCCTTAGGATCTTCTCATGCTTTCATGGGGGAAGGGGCCATAAGGCTTGGTCATGTTAGAGAGCTGGAACTGGACTCCTTGAAAAAATCTGAGATCCAGCAAAGGGCACAACCATTCAAAAACTCTACATAATAGACCAACTATAAGGTACAGCTTGCTTCTAGGGAGAGGGAAAAAGAATTATGTTGGGATTAGGTAGAAAAATTACTTTAAAAGCTACACCATCAGTAATACTTTTCTAAAATTAAATAAATACTATCTAATGATAGACAATTGTTTGCTATATTATTCTCTGTACTTTTGTACTTTTCTATAGTCTAAAAATGTTCTCAATATCTAACAACATAATTTAATACAGAAAATAAGATGAACTCAACCCTGAAGGAAAAGTAGGATTTGGAAATGCAGTGATGAGAAAAACATTACATTTTAAGCATGCTTTATGTATCCACCTGGAAAAGCCAAGAAATTAGAAAAACTCAGTCCACCTGGTGGCCCTGAGAAACAGAAGCTCCTTTTATCCAACAGCTGACTTTCAGCTCTGGGAGGCTGTGGAAG